GTTCTCCGGATCAGTTTTCTTCCATCACTGTTGTTGAACATTTTACAGAAGTTGATGCTTCTTTCATCATCTTTTGTATTTCTGCATCGGTATTATAAATTTCGAAAATTGCTGGAATCAGATCAGAAAGTCAAAGCTGCTGAACTGCTGGTTTGTTGTTATATTCTAACACATAACTATATGTTGCGAATTATTATACCAAATACGATTTTATAGCTTGTAAAATAATTAATCATTTGATCCGGGGCAGTAGTTAAGGGATGTTTATGACCAAATTCTAGCCGATGTTTCAATTGGCGTTCCCGCCGTAATCTGTAGAAACTCTTATGACATATTTGTTTTGTTAAAGAAATAGATTTTTGTTTTAGTAGGGAAATTATTTGTACGGTAGTAATGGCGCTAGTTTTTTTTTATATTCTCTTCCCTTGAGCTGTACTTTTTCTGCGAATTATCCTGTGAATGGTAAATGAAGAACCAGTCTTTGACACTTTGCTTCATGTATATGGCGAGGATGTTGGATTTGTTCAATTTTTCAATTCAGTTTAATTTACTTGTAGGTAGAACTGATTGTCTTCGATTTAGTACCAAGGAAATTTGATGTTATATTGCTTTCCGATTTGATTTCTATTCTCAGTGATGAAGATGAGGTATTTTTTCATTCATTCTACCGATGTAGGTCTTATTGTTTTTAACCTACGAAATGTCCTACTTATCCTACTATTTAACTCATATATATATATATATATATATATATATATCGGAGAAATAAATTCAAATGGTAATAAATGAAATGGTTGAAATTCAAGCATTTTTAACATATTACTGATTTAATTCCTTCAAAACTTATGAGTGAATCGTAGCTTATTATCAGATGTGGTCACTGATTAATTGTAAGTGTAGCAAGTATTATAACTTCGTAAAACTCACAGGCATAAAGATTATTATGTTTCATAAAAATTGTTATAATGATTAAATTTTCGACTCCAATCATTGTGATTATAACTTTTTTTTGATGAATCATAATACTGGACTGTGATATACATATTGATCAGTTTTTAGGATTTCTTCTTATTCTATATGTCCTATTGCTTAGCTGTAAATATGACCATAAATTTTACAATTATCCATTAGTTTTTGCTTAATATCGTAGTCAAATATGTATGGTGGATGTAGATACTTTCCAGAATTCTCCATAGTAGATTATGGAAATTATCGTATTAACGTAAACAGTGAACTGGTTATTTAATAACTTACCGGTAGTGGGGAAAGTTAATCATAACCTTGTTTTTTTCAGGTTATTATAAGTAAAGATAGTACTGAGCAGTTACTAGAACATTTAGTACAGTATGAAGCAGATGGTCCGTTGCAACATAATTATGACGCGTGGAAAATGCGTTTACGTACAGTTCGCTTCCTATTGTTACAAAATTTGGCTCGCGTTATTACTTCATCCACTTTGTGATTCATTTGTGATCATTTTTCATGCTCTTTTCTTTTGTTACTTTTTTATTCTTGTTCAAATTGATATTTGAGTATTTCAAAGTTAGTTCCTTATGACTTCGATGGTTTCTTACTTTTCCCACTTCAATCCCAGTTAGTTCGATAGTAATACACTAGTTTGAAACAATATGCGAAGAGTGTAAATTCCTTAAGTGAAAGAGTTAAGGGCAAATATGTCGACTGAACAAGGCGTACTTTGGTCAAGAAAATCAACAAAACTTCTTCTGACAAGTCAAATGAACCAAATCGAATTTGTGGAGTAATTCAATTAGGTCCTTTATCATATATTCTTTAATCAGTGAAATTTTCGTCTCCCGATCATATCTGACAAGTTACCATTCACTCGTCAAATTTATTGCTGCGAACTTGAAAGATAGATGTGGTGGAAGAATGATTAGATGTGTTTTTTGTTTTTATATTTTGATTAATATTTCATTTATTGTTATGAAAATTTCCAAATTCTTGCTGAAAATAGATGTATTTTTCCTCCATACTTGCTGTTATTCAATAAATTTTTTTATCATCTTTACAGCGATAACAATGATACAGTGATAATGTAATGATGAATTAGTTTTTGATTATCTGTTGTTTCGGAGCAGGAATCTTTCCGAGATGAAGTTTCTCAGCAGACATTTAGTCTTAATATTTTTTCTCTTCCGCTCTTCCTCTTCTTAAAACTTATCTCTATCATTAGATATATTTAGCTGCGTTGATGAAATGATAATATTCGGGTGACAATTAATTATCAAAACAATGCAGTACGGTAATAAAAGAGGAGAGGTCGCAAGAAGGAAGTACTTGCTGTCAATTTTTCTTATTAACAATGTTCCAAAACTTCTTTTCTTTAAAGGAAAGTTTTAACAAAGGTGATTTCTTTCCGAAATGATTTACCAAATTTCATCTTTAAATTTTATGATAGTGCAGAAATAACAAGCTGACTTAAGCAATTAGGTGTCCTTACATAGTACTGATAACAAATGAATATTGATTTGTCGATATTCATTTATTATCAAACAATCAATAGATGTCACCAGAATCCTTTTTTTTAAATAAAAATTTTCATGCAGATATTTCAATATTTATCTTATAAACTCCATCCTTAACAGTCGAATAATGAATAAATCAATGATTGATTTGAAAGGAATTGCATAAAGGCAAGCACTATTCTTTTATAGCCATCTTTATCCTTTCCTCTTCACTTTCCACGGACATCATATCCTGTCGCGGAGAAGAAACTTGACGTAGTGTTCTAATGAGGTCATAAATTATGCTTGCAGTGGCTTACGCCTCCGGTAAGATCTCCCATGTCAAACCAGATCTCAACTGAAGGATCAGCCTAAGTGTTTCCACGAGTAGGATGAGCTTGCTAGCCTTACGGCAACTATTCTAGGAGAAAGACAACTCATTTATCGGTTATCTATCGAAGAAAAGGATATTCTAACTAAACTTACGTCCTCAAAATTTCACTATCACAATCCAAGTTTGCTAGGCTCTGACAGATGAATAAACCTTAGGATAAAGAGTAGGACCAGTTCCGCGCATCCTACGCCTCAACAACTGCGCAAGCTAGAAGGATACATTCATATTTGTGGCGTTTACAGCAAGTATGGATAAAGCCCCTTCCTAAATGTTCGTTTACGAAGCCTAACCATGTTGATAATGAAATTTACCCCTTAAATTATCAAAATTTTTTCTCTTTCTCTCTTTCACTCCCTCTCTCATTCTCTCTCTCTTTGTTTCATCACTAATTTGAAAGTGATTGTACAAAGTAAAAAAAAAAGGAGATTTTCCTACTTATAAAATATATTTCCCTCCTTCTTTTTTCTCTCCCTCTCTTTTTCTTTCTCTCACTTTCTTTACCATTGATTTGAAAGTGATTGCACAAATAAAAAAAGCAAGAAAATTTTCCTGTCTATAAAATATACTTTCAAAAAATGATCAAATCTTATCAATAAAGATATGAGTGGAAATAAATTTAATCCTCTTTTTTTCTTAAAATTTTTAAACCTAAAATTTGAAACTATCATTTTTTTTAATCATATATTTTCGATTCAGATATAAAAATAAGAGAAAAGACAAATTCTAGTCCTCCTTTTCCTTTCACCTTAAATTTAATTTAACAAAATCCTGCCTCATTTTCTCTCCTCTTTTCTCCTCATCAGAATTCTTAGCTGTATTAAAGAAATATGGAAAAGAAGAAATTTAGTCGCTCGAAAATTTTAAAATCAAAATTTAAAATTTTCATCATCCTCTGAAATTCTGGAGAATCAATCAAATCTTTCTTTTCTGACTTTAAACTACAATTTCTCCATCGTTTTGTTTTCGAAACAGTATGTAAGTGGTACAAAATAAAAATAACCTTACAATTATTTACCAAATCTCAAGTTCTGATTTCAGTTCCGACTAGGTTGAAACTAATGATGAGACGAGACTTGCGATTTCATAGTGACCAACTCATTGGTGTCCTAACCATTTTTTGCAATAAATCTGATCCATTAATGTTTCTCGGTTTACAATTTTCTCTAGCAATGGTTCAATAATTTGTTTTCAGTTTCCCATAAATTCTCTCATTCTCTGGTGTATATGGCATCACTAATTTGACTACTGTCTGCAGTCCCTTCATTTACTGTTATCTGCCGTTTTTCTTTATCGTCTAACACGATACGTCGCTCAAATCATTTCCACTATTTTCTCGTTCTTTAACCTCATATTGTGACGTTCCTTTTCATTTTCTAACATATCTCTTCATTTCCACAAATATTTTTCGATAATTTATCCATTTCTTCAATTCTTGCCAATCTTTTCTCCTCTTCGTTGACATTATATTTCTCATCACTTGTAATTTAATTTTTCAAATATTGGTTTATCTCTTTTCTCTTTTTGCAGTAGATATAGGAAAGGTTTGGTTGTATAAAAATCATTCATTCATCCTAATACATCTCTTCTTTACGGATCATTTTGACCTTTAATTTCCGGATTGTACCGATTATCCGAACTGCATTGGTTCCATGCAAATTTGCGCAATCTCTATTTCATCCCTTTACTTGTAAAACTGTTTTTTAGCAATATATCGGAAGATATGCAATCAACACTGTACGATATTTCAGAAATCATCTTTTCGGATGATTGAGTTTTTATTCTTCAAAAAATCACGTATTGCTTGTTCAGTTCAGGTTAATAAAGTTCAGGTCAATTGTTGAATTTTGGTGTTATGATGCAAGGTGATAGGAAATTGTCCGGTTCATCACAAAAGCGATCCCTTTCTTCGGTGATACCAGCAACGATAACAGGAAATGCTCGATTGGATCCGTTAGCGTTAGGTGTGGTTGGTATGGATAATCGACAAGCTGTTATCATTGATATCGGCGCAGTTTTAACAAAGTTTGTTTACTTTTCCCGTATTATTTATCGTGAAATATTTGAGATTTTTTCAGCTTTTATCTGTCGAATTGTAGCAAAAATAAGCTCAAAAATACGTTAGTGTGATTTATGATAAGTTGATTTATTTAGGTTTTATTTCAGGGTCGGTTATGCAGGTGAATTCGTTCCACGTGCAATAATAAGAACAGAATTGGTGGATGACCGTACGGGTGAAACGATAAAAGTACTGGATGATACACTTAGTGAACAAGAACTTTATTACAGATTAGTGAAATTCTTCCGAGAGTTATTTTTCAGGTAAATTACATCCGTTTCTATGTCAAACATCTACATTCATATGTTCACATTTACTCTTATAAAATGTATTGCGTCATGATGAATCGCAAATATTTTCTGATATGCATGCAGTGTCGCTTTATACAAAGCTAGGCAATAAGGATATTATTACTTATCTGTTTGAATCATCTTCATTTATAACTTCTTGAGGAATTCCATGTGTTTGATTTTCCATCTATCTTTAGTGTTTTACAATCTTCATCCTGAAAAAAACTTAAGATCTTGAATTTTACTTCAGAATTTGGAATTTATTAGCCTAAATTTTTTAGGTACTTGTTAACGGTCGCTAGAGATCGCCGAATCGTAATCGTTGAAAGTATTTTGGCACGGACATCACATCGAAATGCCATGGCACGGGTACTGTTTAATGCTTTCGATGCTCCATCGGTACTTTTCGCCCCGTCGCATCTGTTGGCAACATTCCCATTTGGTGTCACGAATGCTATTGTTATTGATGTCGGATATTCAGAAGCAACTATTGTTCCGGTAACAGTACTTTTGCATTTCGCCTGAAAAAAAATTTGTTATATAAAATTTGAAAAAAAATGCATGGCTGATACTTACCGCAGTTCTCTGTGACTTCATGTTACAAATTAGATTTCGAATTTGACATAAATTATTCTTGAAGTATTTGTTTATATGATTTTAAAACAAGGATCTAGCATAGTTTCATTTCCCAATAAGTATTTAGGTACTCTGTATACCTCATTTTCTTGTACTTTAGATAAATTTCAATTCTTTATTCAGTTTACAGATTCTGGAAGGTGTTACTATGTTGTATCAACTGGAAACTTCATGTATAGGTGCGAAGTGTTTGGAAGAGCGCGTTTACGAACTTTTGCGAAAGTAGGATATTATCTTTATCCATTGCACATAGATCACTTTTACTTTTGGTTTAAATTGTTTGATTGCGAAAGAAAAATATAATATACATTATAAAATACTGAAGATTTTTTCTCAGTGACTTCAGATTTTGGTGCAGTGTGGTTTGCATACCAGAGAATATCACAGAGCTGTTATTTTTCTCAGATGTTACTCAGTGTTACTCAGATGCGAATAGAACGCACAGCAGAGCAACTTGAAGCAATCTGTTTAATTAAGATTACGCTTTAATTTCTCATTCTAGCAGCGTAATTCAGTATGATATTTTTCAGATACGGCAAAGTGTTGACAATTTCGGGTACAGAACGAGCACTGACTGATGACGATGATTTATTGTTGAAAAAAGAGCGCATTTTGGAAGATATTGTCGTTAGATTTTGCTTTGCTACTAAAATGGATCGTGGAAAGATGATACACGCTTCGGGTAAGTTACAACCTGCTTTAAGATGGCGAAAGCTGACCGAACGGTTTTTTTGTTTATTTTGCTTTGAAAAATTGACACTCAAGATTTTAATTGAAAAATGTGTTTAAGTGAAACGAAATTTTGAGGAAGGAAAAACAGGAAAAACAGAATTGGCAAAAGAACAAAAAACTGAATAAAGGCATGAATGCAAGAAAGCGTCAATTTAAATTGCAGAATATAATCCAGAACGTGAAATTCCGAAACCACCATGTGATGTTCGCTTACCATTCGGTGAAGAAATGCTTATTGTGCCTGGTCTGATAAGGTAATTTTCTAAATTAGCTGTGATTCACCAAAAATTCCATTTTTTAAAATTCACCATTATCCTTGTTAGTCAATACAGGGAATGGACTGCGGAAGCAATTTTCGAGGAAAATGATGATATCAAATCCCTGCCACAACTAGTACTTGATGCCGTATATCGGGTAAATGTTTCGCTTACTTTTACAGTATTATTTCGCTTTTCGTAATATATTATCATCGAATCTCTCAGTTTATTAGCAGTTTAAAATAAGGCATTTAGCTTACAGACTAACATAGTCCATTTCTAGATACCGATTATTATTAGTCTCGTAAATGAGAGAAAAAAATAAAAAAAGGAATTCTCCTCAGTCATATTGCCAACAGAAAAATTTATTAATCCTGTCTTTAAGTTCAATCTGTGTTGCAGTTCGGAATGACAGTGTGGGAGGTATGCTTCCCAAGACATAAATTTTTTCCTCATTGTGGACTTCTCTCCGAATATTGGTTCTCTTTTTCTGCTGAAACTCGAAAGGTTGCTAAAATCAGGTATTTAGTGTCCAATTGATATGAGAAGGAAGCTATTGGATAGTATAATACTGGTTGGTGGAACAACACGTATGAAAGGTTTCTCTGCGCGACTTCGAGATGAAATTTTGCGTTTACTGACAGCATCGGCTTATGCGAATAAATTAGGCAATATTAAATCCGTCAAATTCTATCGCTTGCCAAACACATCAATTGAATTGTATGCTAGTTGGATTGGAGGTAATTAAAGAAATTTTTGTACAGAAATTGATTTATATTACAGTTTTGAGTGGGACGACTTAGTCTAGTATTCATGTTTATTTTCAATTGACTGATGGTCTCAGTATTTCATAACATGTAATGCAATATTGGAAAATAATTAAAACCATTTCAGTAATCTTAAAAATCCAGTAGTCTTTTTTATTTGTTTATAACTGGTAGAATATAGCTGCGGCAGTGAAAATTATTAATTCAAGATTATATATTTTAGAACTTGTTTAAAGTACGCAGTAATTTTGACTACTTTGAACATCGAGTAATTAATTCAAAATTTGATGATATACCTCTGAAACATCGGCATACTTTCGGGAATTTAAGGATGGCTATATAGATATCGAATCATTAAATATTATTTTGTTCAAATATCCGAGTTTTTGAGTTTCTTGATTATATTGTGGGATTTACTGGTAAAAAACTTCGATTTTTAAAATTTCGATACATTTAAATGAAATTTTACAGGTAGCATGTTTGGAGCTTTAGAAGTGCTGCAGTATTATTCTTTGACACGAGAGGACTGGCAGAGACGAGGTAAGGTGCCAGACTGGACGAATAATGTTCATGAGATGAATCGAGATTCGATACGAAATCGCTGAGTTTCGTCGACATAACTTTCCGTTTTGTCGATATTATTTTTATTTGCAAAAGTTGATCTTCTGTGCATAATATTTGTTGAGTTTTGCTGGGTAACTTATTGAGATTCATCTGGAAATCATTTTTCGAGAAAACTTGAATTGCTTCGGAATTTTCCAAAGTTTCTATCCCACAGAAAATTTTTGTGGTATGCATTCTTTTAGAGTCTTAAATTTCATTATTTTGATGCTTCGAAAATTGGTTTTATTCCATTACATAACTGTTTAACATTTCTTTAATGTATATATGTAAATTACAGTTGGTCAATAAAGTGATTTTTTTTTCGTATTTCCATTATTTGTTGTATCGGTTCTCGTACCAAAATTCTTATCCATCTCTTATCATCAGATAGAAGGATTCGCGTATTTTTCCAAATGTGGTTCCTCTTATCATTTCTGCATGCTTGAAAAATTTTTGCAATTCTTGATTAAATTCTTCGAGAGTGCATCACTAGTTTAATATATCTTTCAGTGAACTATAAAATTCAGGGACCATCTTCTAAAGTATTCTCCCTAAATTCCTTATCTTAGCTCTCATCGTGGACGATGTTATAACATTTTGGTAGCTCTTGCCACATTTGTTACCAGTTTATAATATTGTCAATCCCATCATTCATTCATTTCCCCGGTTATTCACTTTAACTAATCCATTTTCTTACCTGTTCTTTACCACTTCCTTACTGCTTCCTTATTCCTTACTACTAATATGATATATCTGATATTTAATTTACCTACTTAACTTTTTCAATATAGCTACGTCAAGCTTGGCATAACATAATAACAAATTGCGAATTCATTCGATACCAATTCTCGGTAACTTAATGGATAGCTATTATGAAGCAATAGGTGATATAAAGCATTTTATCAATTTATTCATAAAATTATTTACATTGGGGTAATAAGAGAATGTAAGTGCGGAAGAGTGAATATTATGGAAGAATAGAAGCTTTAAAGACTTAAATGGGGAATTGAAAAAATCCTTTGAAAAGACTGTTCAATTCTATTTTTACTTACATAATTCACCCATTTATAGGTATTCACTGTATACGATGATGATTTTATATCGATTTCTGCAAAGTATATGATGATTTTCTTTTGATGGTTTCCTTTTTCTTTTTATCATTTCATCCAATGATAATTTTGTTTATTCCAGTCAATATTGGATAACTTATTTAAAAAATCTCCATTTTTCGCTGTGATATATTTCGAATTCAATTTTTCCTACTGTTTTGTTATTTCAACAAAACCAATACTTTTTTTTAAGTTTTAAAAATAGGTTTTCTTCAAAAAGATTTCATCAACTATCATTTATCGAACATATCGATTCATACTTAATATAAATGATACTCAATTTTTTGACAGTTCTTTTTTTTGTGTCATTCATTTAATGATTCATCCGAATGATTTCCATCGAATAATATAGTGTCTTGCTTTAATTTCATTATTTAAAATGATTTACAGGTTTGCCAACCAGAATACTGTTTGAACTTAATACAACTGTGCAGGCTGACTGATATATCACTGGGAGGTAAATTTTAATTTTGGAATTTTTTTTTGCAATTCATGTTTTTTTTTTTTGGAATGTTTATGTAGTTGAAAGTAAAAGTAATAGAGAACTGTTGTTTTTTGATACAAAAAACTGAAAAATGAAAGCGTTTGTATTGAAAATTATTTGGGAAATAAAATCATAAGCTTAACTTACCGGTTGATGACATTTTATATGCCATTTTTTGCACTAAAGGCAAAAATCGATATTGATTTACCTTCAAATTTGTTTCGAAGTTTTTTTTCAAAGTTATCTCTTCATCTTCCTAAAAGTGAGTCACTTCTTTTATTTTCCTCAGCCACTTGCAGAGTTTCAGCAAACACTTCAGTTTATGAGGATCTTCAAGAAAAAAGGTTAAGAGCTTTAGCTTTGAGGTATGTTTGTTAGGAAGTTTATTTTCCGAAAAGATTAGTGTTACTGACGAGGACGAAAATGAAAATCAATTTTCAAATTATTTAGGAGAACATTTTTGCTAAAACGTGTGACCTATCATTGAGTCTCATTATTCAATCAAGTCAAAGGCATGCTTAAGCTTAAGAATTCGAAATAAATTGAAAACACAAAATTTTCTTTTAAGAAGGAAAATTTCTTTAGTTTTTTATTTACGTTTCATTTTATTCGAAAAATAAAATGAAGTGACTTTTAATAATGTGAGCAATCCATCTTAGCGGTTTATGATGATTGTATGATTTTAAATGTTTATTACTTGAAGTAAGAACAACATCAAAGATAAATGGAGGCTGATTTACTTCATATTCATCTAATATTTCAAGTCTCTATTTGATATTATATCTCAATTAGTCATTAAAAGAAATTAATGAAATTCAATTAGTTGCAAGAGTTTTCCTAGTATTAACTTTTCTTTATTTTCTATGGCTTCCGTTTTTTTCCCTTTTTGCTTTTATTTTTGGAATTGATTTTTTTATTGGAATAAATAGAGGTAAAAACGAGAAATATATGGTGCATTGATTTTTATTTTTATTTATTACTGAAATTCGAAAAATTGAAATTTTAAAATTTTAGCTTATGTCAGTTAACGTTTTTGGTTAATGTTTAATATACTTTAAATACATATGCAAATGTTTGGAGTCATAGTAGGATAAGTTTTTTTTCTCGGGAGCTTAAAAAATTTCGCATATTTCTATTCGCCACATGAGAAAATGACATGGATTGCAAATACTTGAAGTTTAATAGGACAAGTTTTTTTTGGATGTTAAAAAAGTTGAGAATATATTGCTGTAAATAAATGAATTGGTTCAGACTAAGTTGATTAATATTGATTCCGGTTTTATATGGGAAATTCCGATTTGGGATTGGAATCTACCATGCTGTTTATCATGCGGGGTAATGGTAATAAAAAAAAAAGTCTCGTGTTTTTTCTATTAATGATAGTTTACTATCTTATAATTAGACAGAAAAAAAAGGAATCATTTGTCAAAAGAGTAATATCATGACGATATGAAGCTAACTTATGTGAAGAATTAGGAAGGAAAAGAAAGAGATGCTCGATTAGTTATCGATGCTGTTATCTTTCATAAACTTCTGTAGTCTTGGTATTAATCTTGTTTGTCTCTTTCAATTTCATCATTCCCTCAAATAAGCTTTTCGAAACAACTCCCTTCGATTTCTTCTTTTTTTCTGCAGAAAAACAACATTTTGTCATGTTTAGAAGGTTCTTTTTCTTTTTTTCTTTTTTTTTTAAAGCATGACATTACTGATTTATATTAATTTTTAGATTGCGTTACTTTTAAATATGAAAATGATCACATTGCGAATAGTTCGCATAATTTGATCTCCGTTGGTTTGTTTTTGAAATGACGAAGAAATGATAATATTAAAGATAGTGAAAGAGGAACAGAAATATTTAATAGCTTGATTACTGTACAAAACTAAAAACTTTATATTATTATTGAAATATTTGTTAAAAAATGAGCCTTACTAGAAGTTGATAATTTTTGTTTACGGAGAAAAAAAAAGGGAGTAAAGTTTGTAAAAACTGTTCCTTATCAAGATGGTGATCTATTGATAAATGGAATGATTTGATGATCGTTGTGAATTTATTGCGAGGAATATTAGGTTACGCTATAAATCATACCAGGAGGCGGTGCGTTATGTGTTGAATAACCAGATAATATGGATATTTTTATATTCAATAATAATATTTGGATATGAAATTGGGACGTTGGAAGTGTCTTTTTTTCTCATTCTTTACATTTTGAAAAAATAATTTTTTGTTCATTTAATTTTGTAATTGAAAAAAAAGGACAAATTTTTGGTTTATTCAGCCCAACATGCAGTTTATTTTCTTTTTTTTCTAGACTGAGGGAAGTTTTTTCTCTACTTCAAAATCAAAAGTTTTTCAATCTTTATATTTCAATTTCCATCGATATAAGAAGTGTTTTCATTAGTAAATTATTGAAAATACTTCTGTATGCCACTATTTTATAATGGAGGTATTTGGGAAATTCTACTCAAAGTTAAATTACCATTTCGTTCAATTTCCATAAAGCTTGTTTACTCCATCTCATTTCTTTCATTCCACAACTACTGAACATTTCATCGAATTGTAGGAATTGAAATCTATCTTAATAAAACATTCAAAAGTTTTTTTAACAAAGTTCGAAATTATTTTGCGAGAAGTAGTTTTCTTTTTCCTTTTAATAGTATTATTTCATTAAATATAAGACTTGGTTTGATTAAATCAACCATGTTGATAAGTAAATTATAGGTTAGTTAGTAAATAAATCGAATTAATTCATGATGAAATGATTGATATTTTGATATATTTCATCATGAAGATTTCTTTCTCACTTTCTTGAAAATTTCAGGATAATATCAGAAAATGTGGCGTCAATTGGGCATCAATTATGTACGATACTCACAAATTGCAGCGTCAGCTACGCGAAAATGCTTGAAAAAAGGATTGAAGAAAGATGTGGAAAAATCGGCAACAGCAACCGTGAAAATTACTCCGTGGGAAAACGGAAAGCCAGTGAAGAAAGATTGAAATAATTCCTGGTCAATGTCATCTGCTCCACTGAATAGTTTTTTTTCGTATGTTCGTAATCTCAAATGTTAAAGGTTTTGTTATAGAAGTGCCTTTCGCTCGAACTCTTAGGTCTTTTTTGATCGATCCGTTGTAACAATATAATTTGCATTTGATAAATTTCTGGTTCCTGTTTTGCTAATATTAATCCCTTGATGGTTCGATTTATTCGTTTCAGTAATTTATAAGTTTCTAATAAGGATTTGTGCTGTTTATTAGATTTTAGTGGTTTTTAGATTAATGAGATTAGTAATATTATTAATGGTACTATTATAAGTTCAACATCTAACTTTCGTGCTGTTAAATATCTTAAATGTTTGCAATGCAATATATTATCGTGCGATTCGTATTACGCCGAATCTTCTTTTTGCTTCTGTATGTTAATTAATGAAATAAATTAAGATTTCAGGATGAGTACCGCTATCAATAAAACAACTGCCATTATTGGTACTACAGATTTTGATGAGGAAACATGGCTTATTGAACCACCTAATTTACAAGCACAATCAAATAGCAGACAAGAATCTGGACGAATTGATGAATGGTTGCAGGTTAGATAGCTTTATTTATCATTTTTTTGTGAGGAATTATTAAAGTTATAATAATTTTATATTAAACTGAAAATAATTAAGAGATGGAATTCAAATGTTATAACAAATTTTTTATTTTTTGCATATACATGTTGAAAATATAAAATATAGTGTCAAAAAATGTTGATGTATCACGGAATGTGCAACAGTATAATGACATAATTAATGCACGAATGCAATGGCATGATACAAATGTATAGAATAAATAATAAAATTTGTTGTCTTTATATTATAGGGTGCAGCGATGAATGTTGATTTCCAGACACGAAGTGCACTGAGCAGAAAATTAGCCAGTCAAGCGGCTAGGAAAAGTTAGTTCTCAATATTACATTTTAATGGGTATTTGTTAGTAAATAAAATTATTCTTCATAATGTCTTTTTTTTCTTTTATTTATTTATTTATTTTTTGAAATATTGTATGACAGAATGAAGTATATATATACATACATATATTTGTAAAATTTAATTTTGACAATTAAAAGCAAGTACTGATTAGGATTGTTGCAGAGGAATTGTATCCTTTTCTTGATGTAGCGAACGCTTAAAAAAAGAATCCTAATGATAGTTTAAACATTTGATTTTAAGGTTTTGTATGAATTAATTATGAGATTAGCCATATTTTTTTAAATATAGAATTGATCTATTTGTTATTAATTTTTATCAATTCACTTAATTTATGTTATTTAACTAATTCTTGCATATTTGGTAAGTGATTGCAATTGTTCCACATCGCAGCACTGAGTAAGTTATATGAGTGTTGTTGATCAATTACCAAAATATAATCCTGTTATCATGAAATATTACATATATCACAATTTGCATATCGTACCAAACTACCTTATTGCTTATCATTGTTACATGCTTTTTTTAACTACTGAATGAAAAGCTATTCTTTTATGACAGGATTATTGGCTATTAACTTTAAAATCATTTTTATCTTCTTCACTATTAAAATAATATCATAATTTTTTTAATTTCTATAAATGGATGATCGAGTTTTTGCAAAAGAAAAGCGTAGAATATGTCACTTTGCAGGGCCATTTTTTTGGGTTAAAAATTTGCAAAAATCATTGCTCACATAAGTTTTAGAGCTTCAATTCTTGAAGAAATTGAATTTACAGTTAATACGACAACTCCTCTTATCATTTTCATCGCCATTATTATCACAAAAGATAGGTCATATTCCTAGGCATTATTGTTGCCATTTATGACAACCACGAAAAAAGTCCTTATCGTACACTATCACCATCTTTATTCCTTAATTTTCACTACTAACTGTTATTTTTGCGTTTTATTGTCAAAATATGTGTGGTAATAACAATTGAATGAAATGATAAGAATTAACAAACATTTATTTAATAAGGAATTATTTTTCCCTTCTTTCTTTCTTCCCATATCGTTTTAATAAAATATTAGGATGAAGATTTTGGCGAAGTGTCTTTGATGAATGTTTGTGATTTTATCACAAAATTCTCCATTTGGTTTTAATTTGATCAATGATGGAGAAATTGTTGGGATTAAGAAATATGTAATTATTGAAAGATTCCAGTACTCGTTGTATTTTTCTATAATTCCCATCCCATTCATTCAATATTTGATTTCGTTTCGCATTTTCATTATTATTACTTTAGTTTTTTTGGATATAATTTTTAACTGATATTATTATCATTTCGATTTGCTCCATTTTATTTCATTTTGATTTGCTCCATTTTATTGCCATCATATCAGTTATCTTCATACTTTATCCCACTTTCTTTTAATTTTTCTTATTATCTTCGACTGTTGCATTTATATTGCGAAAGTAATGAATGGACAGAAAGTTTTCGTATCATTTCATCAGAATTCGATTACATTTCTACGTTTAATACTTTTTATTTGAAATTTTATTTTTGAATTATTCAATTTCCAATTTTTTTTATTTATAAATCATTATTGGTTGATTGTAATCTCTTTATCTTTTTTTGTCATTTTTTTTCCCTGGAAAGAGAAGAAGTTAAATTGTTCGAAATCATTTCAAAATTTTTGTTGGGATTACCATTTGATCCTTCGGCACAATGCATTTCTCAGTAATACTCCACATCCAATACATCCATTCCTACATTTGCTTCTCGAATTCCCGTGATTTATTGAATTTAATCATCAGATCTGTTTAGTTTCTTGGACAATTTTTTTAATTGTATTACATTTTTCAAAGTCTTAAACTTTTTCATTTTAAATATATATTTTTGAATTACTCAAATTAGGGTTCAATCAATATTGATTGATTGCAATCTGCTTCATCTTTTTTTTGTCTGTTTTTTCTAAAAAAATAGGTAGGTAAAATGTTGAAAATCGAAATCATGACGTTTGTTAGGATTAATGTGCATTTTTTTTTCATTTCAAATTTATATTTTTGAATTACTCAAAACTTTAAATTACTCACTTGTAAGTTAATATTTTAATAATTTTTTTTCCATTTAAGCAATCTGACGATTTCATTTTTGCCGTGTGTATTTTTTTGTTTAATTTCAAAATAGACGATCTTATTAGTGATACATTAATAATTTTAGAACTCACTACTTTTAAATGTTGTTGGGATGAATAATAAGCAGTGTCACTATAGTAATAACATCAATAAGTTTGAGAGTGGAAAGGATGGAAAAGTAGGAGGAAGGTGTACGGGTGATAGGCTGTGAATATTCGGGGGAATACTTCACAATTAGTTTTGTTTATTTTTTTTCTGAACAAAAAAAAGGATGATATTGCAACGAAGGAAAGTCCCGAGTGAATACGAGAAGATAGCTTTCAAATTTCTCGTTTTTTCGATGATTGATTTATCGTTGATTTGTTTTTGTTTTGTTCTTTTTCTAAAAACTTTACTTGTCGTTTTTTAAATTTGTTTATCCAAAAAAAAAAAATTATGCGTTCAATTATTTGGTTAAAAAGGTTAGCAAATCTTTTTTTATTATGAATTTATAGTTATGTTCTGTTGTTATAATACTCTGGCTTAATGGTATGCTATGTAATGATGTTTCTAAGTGAGAATTGATTTAAAATTCATTTTTTCATACTGAAGTTTTTTTGTTTTTCGAAATTGCATCACAAAAAATTATATATGAATTAATGACAAGAAGGGGATACAATTTTTTTGAACTCTTCCGTACTCCATTATATGTTAAGATCGTTGTGGTTAAGTGATTATCATTTTTATGCTTTTAATTTTTTTAACTTTCAAGTTTCTATGAAAAGATATATAAGTGGTTCCATTTATCATGTTATATCTTAGCATTATATTGCAGTATTTGCCAAATACTATTTCAGTTTTTTATTCATTTAATTATTTTAAAAGTTTTCAGTTTTTATTTCAAATATGTTTTCAATTTTTAAATTTTGAACTATGATCTCTTGCCTTGGCTCTTTTTTTGCTTTCTAGTCTATGATTACTTGGCCATCCAATCCCATTTAAATGGTAGCTACGTTTAAATGAATTTCAAAAATAAAGTTGAAAGATAGCTGTTGTATTAGTGCTTCATATATATTTTGTATACTTCATATTTTAATGTGTTATATATATATATGAAAGGTTTGCGTTATTTTCAACTTTTGGAAATGTAATATTGTTATATTTATTATTATTTATCAACGGGTGTCGCCAAAATATTTTGTAGAAAAAAGAGCTGAAAAATTACGCGACAAAGCGGGAAGTGTAAGCGGAAATAGCCGAAAATATTTGTCTCAAGTACAGGAAGAGCTAGTGGAAATGAACAGATCTTATGATGATAATGATAATGAAGAAGATTTAAACGACGAAGAAGCAATCATGCCATCTGTACCTGTAATGAATAAAGAATTGAACGAACAACAACAGCATGGAGTCTCGGGCACTACTACTGTATCATCAGTAGTATCTTTACTACCAATTGAAAATATGACAGTAATATCAGATGATGATGATGATGGTGATGATGGTGATGATGATGATGATGATGATGATGATGATGATGATGATGATGATGATGATGATGATGATGATGATGATGATGATGATAGGTGATGATTGAATGAATGAA